ACTCTGCAGCAAACATTTTGCAAGGTTGAACTTACACGGATTTTGAGAATTTTTATAAATTTGAATTAGTAAAGTCCTGCTAGAGTTTAAAGTTGGCATTATTTAATACTTTGAATTTATAACCTTTCGTCTATGAGTGACTAACATCTAATTTTTACTTACATCATCACAACTGATTCACACAAGAATAAAGGAAATAATCACCAACTAAAGAAGTCTTTGATTGTTGAAGAAAATGAATTCTCCCTGTCATCACCTATTAGGAAATGACGTGTGTGGAAAGCAGTTTTGAGGAGATATATACTGATGTTGGGGTGAAAATGGTTGATTCATTTTGGTAAAACACTCTGAATAGAGCATGGGAAAAAAAAAAGTAAAAAAATAAGCAGTCAAATAACCTGCATAAATTTGTTTGTAGGATATGATTTTTTTACTGCTAAAGGAAAACATGTGATTGTATGCGAGGTAGGGTGAGGGCAGGGAGGTGTTCATGGTAGGGTACACCTGGGTTTTTTTTCAATAATAATTTTTTAGGCACTGCAAAAGAGACTTTATGGTATGCAGTTGTTTTCACTCTCTCTTCTTGGTGAACAGGTAATGGAACAATTGATTTCCCTGAATTCCTTACCATGATGGCAAGGAAAATGAAGGACACAGACAGTGAAGAGGAGATCAAAGAAGCATTTAGAGTGTTTGACAAAGATGGAAATGGTTTTATTAGTGCTGCTGAGTTGCGTCATGTGATGACAAACCTGGGAGAGAAACTTACAGATGAGGAAGTTGATGAGATGATCCGAGAAGCAGATACTGATGGAGATGGCCAAGTGAACTATGAAGGTGAGTACTGTGCAGTTTCTTTGTGGATATTTTTTGTCATTTCCTTTTCATGATTGTTTCTTGTAGAGGCAAAAACAAATTGATCGTTGTGGTTCTGAAAAGTTCAAATGATCAGTTCCTTTTTTTCTTTATAGAATTTGTGAAGATGATGACATCAAAGTAAATTGAAACAATTGAAACACATGTCAACTTGCTGAAGCTTGGTGTAATATACTCCATGAGCTGTTCAACCAGTTTGTCTTTTCGAAAGAAACAGTGATTTTCTCTCATAATTTAGCTGGCCTTAGAACTAGTAGATTAGAGCCTACATATGGCAAAAACATGTAGAGGTAAGATAGCTGTAGCATATTTTTCTTGTTTGTAAGTTTCTGTATTGTTTAAACATGTGAAGATATATATCTTTTGCCCTTCTTGGGTTATTAAAGGTTGATGTTTGGAAGTTTATGTGTTTTGTGTTTTTACTCTTGCATATACCATTTAGAAATAGTTATGCAGTCAGTCTAATAGTTTTTAGAGTCCGGAAAAATTATGAGCTTACCAAATCGGATTTCCCAGACTAGCCCTTTACATGATCGACACCCAAACCGCCTTGTGTAACGTGTAGCGTGACACTCAACCCCAAACCTGTATGAACAAAACTGATCTTGAAGCTTTCACCTCTATAATCTGAAAGCTTGGATCATTTGATATTTTCCTAAAAGATCAGCGTGACCTACTGTATTGTTTTCCCATTCGTCACACTCCAAACTAGCTCATGAAATAGGCGATGGAGAAGTTTGTGATTAACGTTTCATAGCCCTTGGCCTTGGGGGGTCACGCAATCTCTTTTCCATTGACAGCCTTGTCATGGACGACAAATTACGATGTTCCCCCTTAGTAAAATGGACATTATTTTAAGCGAAACTTGTTTTCTGTCATTTTCCCTACCCTTGAACCAATTATGTGTCTAAGAAACGCATTCGGCTGCCGGCTGACGTCGCGTACACTGAGTAGTTTGAGGAATAACTAATTTCATTTTATTTTGTAGCAGTCTCTCCAGCACCGTCGTAGGTTAAAAGTGAAAAGACAATTTCATTCCACCTTTTCTGATGTAACGCACGCTTTCTTGGTGATAAACAGTCTGTCAAGTCGTCCCCTTTCCCGGAATTCCCGTAAGCCTGTGAAGGTTACGACAAAAACTAAAAATATCCGCCCATTAGTTTCTCTCCCAAGTGTAAACAGATTCTTTAAGTTTACCGACATTGACTTCTCGATCGATCGGTATTGAAACGAAACTGCTTGATCGCCAGGTTCCCCGTTAAGAAGAATCCGTCGGATGTGTACCTAGGGGTATTAAAAATAACTGACGCAGCCGACGCAGTTTTCAAATTTGACGCAGTCTGCACCAGGCGCACTTGACGCAGGCGACGCAGGCGACGCAGCCGACGCATAAACTGCTTAATAATGACCTAGTGACGTCATTCAATGCGGCATGATAAACATTCATTCCGGCTTAATCATTTGAGGACTTAATTTCTTGGGCTGAAACTAAATCCCAACTTCAGAATAAATTCCTATCAACGTTGGATTGTATCAACGAGATACTTTCGATAAAATTTCGCACGTGGTTGTGTTGTAAAAGGAAAAAAATTACTCGATTTATTTTCTCGGAAGAGGCTAGCCGCAAGCGACGCATTTTCCGCATCAGCAATCCAAATTTGGAATGTCAGTTTCATTTGAATACGCCAATCAGGTACCGTGTTTTTTCACGCGGCCTCCGAAGATGCCTCGAACGTTTTTACAAGCAATAAGTTTACCAAGTCCTAGAAAGTGGGTTTTTTGACGGAGAGCGAACAGAAAATGGTAAGATTTTTATCATTATGTGACATAAAAATTAACCAAATGATAATGTTTGAGCTTGCCTATTAATAGGTCAAGGGAAACAGCTTTCGTTTGGTCAAATTTTAGCTCTCATTTTGCTCCAGAGGTCTTGTCTGCTTAATTTCTTCCGCGATTAGATGTGAACGTGCTGATTTTGTAGATTGTTTTTAAGATGTTGGTAGTTAAATCAGCAACGATTATGGTTATAGCAGAATTTATCGCGTACAAAGGATCGCCTTGTGCGTTATCGTTTCATGCCTTGTGTTTAGTGTCGTGACAATATAATTGAGTTAGCTAATGAATCCCCGCATGGAACAAAACTCTGAGCTTCGGGTCGTGGTTATACAGTGAAAAAAGATTTCGTGGATGCAGCGATTTCAAATCAGAGCTTTCTTCGAAACTATCCTTATCGATGACAATCTTTCTGGTTAATATATTATGCATGTTTGCTTTTGTATAAAATTTTTTTTCCAACTTCAGTTGACGTTCGTATCCATTCTGTTTGTAAAACGGAAGTTCTAAGAATTCTTCTTAGCACAACTTCTGGAAAAGTCTTTTTGTATTTAATGCATGGAAAAGAAGATGGAAATTTGCACTTAAAGCTAGGGAACTATTGAATTATTAATCACCGGAGTGATTTCAACCTCCAAGTGCAGCTGCCCTAGTTAAAGCCATCCTGTTTATGAATTATTTCCATGTAATATGCTTTTCAAACGAAGAAAGATCATTGGTGTGCAAAAAACACTTAGAGCCCATCCTATAGCTAAAGGTCGTCTTACTAACAGGAAGAAAAAAGAGAAAAGTATCACTTTTCACATGCACGGCTGTTGTATATAATAATGTAGCCCAACACCTGCACACATGGGTGTGCTAATCTTTGCAAGAATTTTACTTAAAAACCCCATATGTTTGGATTTAATTGTTCTTGCATTTCTGGGCTTGAAATTTTAGTATTTGACTTACACTGTAACAGCTGCCAATTTCTTTATTTCCAGGGTCTTGGAAAACTGGTGTTTGTGTTTATGCACAATGTTTTTTCATGACCAAATTTTTGTTAGGTTTATGTAGGTGCGGTCACCCTGGTAACTTGATTTTCATAGAGTCTCTAGCCAAATTCTTAATTGGGGAACTTCTAGTTCTTGCTAAGGACTTGTAGAAGACTGAGTCTTAAAATCTACCCTTTGCAACCTTCAGCTCTCTCAATGAGATAGCAAAACTTTTGCCTTTCATGCTGTATACAGATTCCTGTTAGGTTGCAAGGCTGTTGTCTAGCAGCACCTGATGGCCCCTGGCGCCTTACTTTTGCTCTTGGGCAACTCAGGAATTTTAGCATTTTTATACAAAGCATAATTATGCTGGGAACCCTGGATTTTACAGTTTCAGAGCACTGGGCTCCATTCAATTTTCCTTGGAGCACAGCTTTTTTGGGGGGTGGCTTCCTTTGAGAAACCCTGGAGGGAATTAGTGCAGTTCCAATACTCACCGTGCTTATTGACTTTCCCTCATCCACCAAAGTGTACAATGAATATAAACTATATAGCTATAGCAGCCATTTAGAATAAGTACACAGACTTTGTTTTGAAGCAAACTATAACATTAAAAATTGTTATCAGCTTCTTACTGAACTTTCCCCTCAAGGAAAAAAAAAAGTACTTGAATTGTAGCTTTCTGGAGCAGAATATTTAAGAGCTGTCAAGGGTTTGTGGGATTCAAATGAATTCTGATAGATGCTTGTGATTTCAAATCATATTTTCCCCGTGCTGTCTTCTCTAGCAGTGAGAGATCTGTGCATTAGTTATTCTGTTTTTATCAACTGTTGCTGACACTTGTTCTCTTTGCAGGCTGATCAACTAACAGAAGAACAGATTGCTGGTAAGTGGAAAAGATTTCTTTTGGTATTTTATTATTATTACAGTGGAACCTCAATTTAACAAAGTGCCAAGGGACTGGGGAAAGTGGTTCATTCTATTGAGAGCTCATTATATCCAGGTTCTGTGGTAAACATTTTACTGTAACTTTAGCCAGGCTGAAACTGAAGTATCGTTTGTTATGCTGAGGGCTTGGTTATATAGAGCTTCGTTAAATCGAGGTTCCACTGTATTATGTTTTTTCAATGGTGCAGAGAAAGACTGGTCGTGTTTAAAAAGTTTGCATTAATTTATTTTGTATTTTGCAATCTCATGTAAATCCTCATTTGGATGGTTCAAAGCCCATAACAAATGTTTGCAAACACATGCTAAAATAGCAAGATATAAAGTAGAGATTAAAAAAATTAAAAAAAAAAAAGCAATATTAGTTTTGGGTATGAGTTTTAACTCTCCTATTTACACTGTACTTCAACCCAGGGCTTAACACTTAGCTTTTTAACTTACTAGCCAAGTGGCTAGTGACATCTAAGATGTTTTTAGATGTATGACAATTTCAGTCTGTTTACTAGCCAAACTGGCAAGTGGAAATTGAAAACCAATAGCCAAAACTGAATTTCTGCTGGTCTGTGGCTAGTGGGCTACCATTAGTGTCGAGCCCTGCAACCATTTCAGAAGAGTGCTATGTTGTTCTCCTGTGAATTTCAGTTGATTTGCCATCATTTCCAGTAGACATAAAATGAAAATCAATTTAAAAATGCCTATCAGTTTAACACAATCTCAGTTCAATTTAGCTATTGATCCTGGCCATAACTTGTTTTTGACTTGTCTGCAGAATTTAAAGAAGCATTCTCGCTCTTTGACAAGGATGGAGATGGTACCATCACCACCAAAGAACTTGGAACAGTGATGAGATCTCTAGGACAAAACCCAACTGAAGCAGAACTTCAGGATATGATCAATGAAGTAGATGCAGATGGTACGTAACAAGTTTGACTTGGATATTTTTCTTGTCAAAGTGGCAAGAATGCACTAATTAAGAAAGGGACAAAATTTCTTTGGATTTGATTAGCAACAGAAATTTTTGAATTAATGTTTGGCAAAAGTACACCAGATGTAAGATGTAACATGTGAAATTGACGTCTCAAATGTGCCTGGAGATGGGAGAATCTTCATCTCATATAAAGTTAGCTACATGTAAAGTCAAGTCTAGAATGGCTTTCTCAAAAATTCTGACTGACTACTTGTAGACTTGAACCTTCCACTCCCAAGATCTCATTCATAATTCTCCTTACTGTCTGCTATACAATTCTTAGGAAGTCAGTTTGGATAATTTGGTGTTGGATCAGCTAATAATCCCCTAAATCTTATTGTTCTCTACTGTCATGACTTGTCTAAGTCCATTTATATTGTAAACATTGTATCCACAGGCTGCGTTAACGTAGTTGAGCATCATTCTAGCAAGGATGAGTTTATTATCCTTCTTATCTGGTTTATTTTGCTGGTTTCCTAACTTACAATTTTATATTTTGTCAAAACAGGTAATGGAACAATTGATTTCCCTGAATTTCTCACCATGATGGCAAGGAAAATGAAGGATACTGACAGTGAGGAAGAAATCAGAGAAGCTTTCCGAGTGTTTGACAAAGATGGAAATGGTTTTATCAGTGCTGCTGAGTTGCGACATGTGATGACAAACCTGGGAGAGAAACTTACAGATGAGGAAGTTGATGAGATGATCCGAGAGGCAGACATCGATGGAGATGGACAAGTCAATTATGAAGGTAAAATTTACTTTGCAGAGGGTAGTTGCTATGAATAGGTATCTCTTGTATCTCTTTCTAACCCATGGCTGCAGGTAAATTGAATAAGAACTTCCAAAATCGTGGTTTGTTAGATCCTTGAACCTTCCGACCCCCTGAATATCACCCCTGAATCACTCATTAAGCTCACAAGAGGAAAGGTAATAATCACCAACTAAAGAAGCTCTTGATTGTGAAACAAATTCTCCTTGTCAACTTTAAGAAGAACAAGCATGCTTTTGAGCCTGTAACTGTTAATGGGAAGGATCTCTCTGTTAGCTCTGCCAAGATCTTAGGTGTGACTCTCTGATGATCTTATGTGGAATGATCATATATCCGAGGCTATCAAGAAAGCCAATAAGAGATTATATTTCCTGGTTCTCCTTAGGAGAGTGGGAGTGGACCCTCGTGACATAATCAATTTTTTTTTTCAAACAGTCACATCCCAAATTAATTCTCAGAATGGTCCTGGGATATTGTTCACCCATTTTTCACCATGCATTGCTTGAGTCTTAAAGTAATGATATTGAACAAGTACAGAAAAGGGCATTAAGTATCATCTTATCAGATTGTTCTGATAGTCTATGCTTGAGTAGCTATAATTTAGACACTTTGCAGTCTTGGCGTGAGGAACAGTGTTCTAAATGTTTGATGCAATCTCTAATGACCACAAACTATCTCACTTATTTCCTACCAATCATGTAAACCATTATAACCTAAGGAGAATTAGAAAGTACAACCTCCCTGGCGTGCGCACCAAGCATTTTCAGCGGTCTTTCATCCCGAGCATGTGCTGACTAGCAAACGACACTGTGTAAATATTCAATTGATCAAGCCTGCCTAGTATTACTCGATCGTAGAGATATTTTATCATTTTATAGTTTCTGATACAATTGTAATTTTTATCATATTCCTGTATGTATCTATTATAACATAGTATATCATTGTAAAATATCATGCAATTCAGCCCCTTGGCTGCAATGTAATATTTGTTTGAAACTATTAAACTAGTAAACTATTAAACTTGTCAGCACCAAAGGAAATGTATAAAGAACAGTATGGAGAATATGCGTACTGATGTTTAGTTAGGGTTTAAGGGGTTAAATGTCAACTAAGAAATGCTCTTAATTGACAGATTAGTCAAAGTGATGTTTCTTCCTGTGGCAGTGAATGTGCAGTAACACTTATTTTTCTTAGCAAATGGCACTTGTTAACTTTCTTTTTTCCCTACACAGAATTTGTCAAGATGATGACATCTAAGTAACTGTGGGACACAGTTTACAGAGCCCAGCTTGAATCAAGTTTGCAACCTTGTCTGTACCAATGAGAATTGTAGATAGCATGTAACTTCAAGAGAGAAATATTTGTGGGAAACTCTTTGCTTGTGTCATACTATATTTCCCCTATTGAGATTTCTGTTTATAATTTATTAAGATTTGTTTTGTTGAAGTAATAAAGATCAGTGGAAAATGTTGAGATGGATTGTGGTGTTTCAATGGTAATTAACAATAAAACCGTCTGTCCCATGTATGACCATTCTGAGAATTAATTTGGGATGTGACTGTTTGAAAAAAACTACTTAGACTTTGCATTGATTGGTAAACATTTTTGGTCTGTTTTAAGGAAACACTGCAACTAAGTACTTAAGGAAAAAAAACAAAAACAAGTTAACCCTTAAACTTCCAGAAGTGATTAGAATGTTACTTCTCCCTATAACAGCAATATGTTATCCAGCAAAGAGGTAATGAGAATACTCGAACTTATCAGATAGAAGTTATCCTGATCTAACACCAACTTCTCATAACTAATTGACAAGGAAATGTGTGGCACCTAGAGGAGAGAATTGATAGTTAAATAGTGGGAGTTCAAGGGTTACCCGTATGATCAATCAATCAACTTTATTCAACGAGCGTAACACGGGACAGTTCTTCAACTGAGTAACTAGTGGCCCTCATGATCCTCAATGACCAGCATCTATTTTCCCTGTGCATATCACTACTGAATCAAACAAGTAGGTTATTAGAATATAGGGAATTACCAACTGCTGGAGAAGCTAGGGTGGTTCGGTCTAACCCTCTAAATTTTCCCTCAAAATGCTGGAAGTCATGTTTTCGAAGACCCAATTTTCTAAATCTCCCGGGGAAGCATGACCTCGGACAATTCTCCGAACCTCCCTTGACTAAATCCTGAATCCGCCCTTAGTGAAGTTTTCGAATGTTTATTCAATTCTCCTTGTCAATTTGACAATGCTTGGACAAGAGTGTGGGAATTATGCATACTGACGTTTAGGGTGTGAAGCGTTGAGATCTTGACAAACTGGCAACTGCCACTGCACCAAGACTTCTAGTTGTGATCGTAGAAAAATTAACTTGTGGAGTTCACCCTGTTACCTGGAAAAACATTTCTTGATATATTTTCTTAGACCAGTCCCTCAGGCACAGACAGTGCATATGTAACATTTTTCCCAAGGTCTATTTGGCTTTTAACAACATTTGAAGGGCAACTATGAATCGATATTAATTAAAAACTGCAGATCTTCCTGTTTTCAAAAAAATCTTCCCGTCCCTTGAAACGTCGAACAGTTGGCGGGAGCCTGAGAAGGAGTGACTTAAACTCGCGCCAGTACCGCTCGTAAAGTAATTGACAAGATGGCGGACGATTTGATAGAAGATTTCATCGTAACAAGCTTGTAGTCTGTGTTGATTAGAAGAGTTCTTCGAGATGACTTAACAAATGTGTACATGTCAGAAGGTCCCTAGAATGTTTGCGCCAGCAGGTCAACCAGAACTTGTTCGTTCAAATCAGAAAGATGTGTACTATCTTGGTTTCTTAAGAGAAGGAATAGCACAAATATACAGGAGTGTACGAGGTTTGAACAGCAGTTAATTACCCAAAACGTCTAGATGAGTAATTTTAGTATGTATTTTATGTTTTTTATGGTAAAAATAGGATATCACCATCTGCTCGTAGCGACGAACGTCTTCAGCGCTGAAGATCACCCACCTAATTCTTGTCAAACGAAACTGTCAATGGCCAGTTTTTTACATCTCACTGAATTCCGTTAGTACTTCTTGAGTTTTTCCTTATTTTTCAATGCCTTTCCTTTTTTTTTTTTTGTTCCTTTTTTTTTCTCGTGGGTTTTGTTTGTTGTTTTTGTTTGTTTTTTTTTTTATTCTCGGGCTGCGCAGCCAAAGAATATGCGTGCAGTCCAGTGGTCAACATAAAATGCAGACTGCAGATCATGTGTATAATGTCGATGAGATACAACAGCAAACTGAGGGCTGTGGGTTAGAATTGCAGACCAAGAATCAATACAGTTTTTGAAAAGTTTTCTGTGCGACCTCATACTATTGTAAAACAAAGCTGAATCCCAAAGGCATTCTATCGTAGCTGTCATTGTTTTCTTTTTCGAAGAACTGAATGCATAATGAGTATGAAACTGTGTGGACATCTTGTCCATGTTTTATTTCTTTATTTATTTTTTATTTTTTTTAATCAGTATTAGATATCCTGACATTTCATAACATCATCATTCTCAGGCCACCATCATCCACAACCATTCTCATTCTTTAGCTGATGCTTTGGGCCCATTTCTATGAAGTGGTTAGGTTGAGCTTGTCTTTAAAACATCATTTATTTCTCTGTTGAAGGTCCTTTCTCTTGGATCAAATGGAAGACAGAGTTGGATTTACTTGCCGACATCTGTTATTTTGGTCTAACTACAATAAGTGGTATGTACCGGTAATTCAAATGAATGCTCTAAGTTGATAAGGGATGTCAATTAAAGACAGAAAGTTACAGGTACCTAAGGGTTTGGGATGCATGCACAAGAACATAAAATGTTTAGAAGGGTTTACAATACCAGGGGATACAATCGATGCTCTCGTAAGGGACCATCCTGGGAATTCAAATAAGTGGTTGCAACTAGAGCTGGCCACGTATGAGAATGGTCTCTCATGCACTACAAAATTCATAAACAATAAAGGGTGGTCGCGCGCAAGAACTTTTAGAAAAAGCATTTGGGATTTGTAAATTCTTAACTGGTACAGAAACTTCATCTTTACTTTCATTCAGTACACATGTGCTAAAATATCCTTACAAATTCCAAAAAAAAAAAAACATGAACAGTTTCACTCAAAAGTTTTAAACTTAAGACTTAGTGGTTACTTACAAGAGCTTAATAACAATGGAAAACTCCAGTCCAATAATCCAAAAGGTGGTCACGAATGGTCACTTATCATGGTTGCTTACAAGAGCTTAATAACAATGGAAAACTCCAGTTCGATAATCCTAAAGGTGGTCATGGTCACTTATGGGAACAGTCATTTACAAGAGCTTGCAATTAGAGGGTTTAAAGACAATTAAAACGGGTTTTACATTGGTGGTTGTCGCTAGAGCTGGTTGTCGTTAGAGCTGGTTGTCACTAGAGCTGGTTGTCGCTAGAGCTGGTTGCTTATGAGAGTGGTTTTTAGGAGAGATTTAACTGATAAAAATAAAATAGGGTTATTATAATTCATGGGGAAAAAAGTAATTTTCCCTAAAAAAAATTTTTGTTGTTTTTCAAGGGGTTTTTCAACAATTTATTTCTAAGGCAAAATTAAGTTTATAAGCCTTGTTTTGAAATCTGAGAGGCACTTTTATAAAAATAAATGTGAATAAACTAAACTAATCTGGCAAGGATAAGATATTACAGTAACTCTGATGAACATTATCATGTTAAATCTATATGAATCACTTTCTTAGGATATCAGACACTTGGTGAGGAATACTGAAATATTGTGCAAGTGGACAGTAGTAAGACAAGGATCCCTTCAACATTGGTAACAGTAATGAACACTATCATAGACATGACTGCAATACTGCAATACATGTGGTTTGGTCTCATATTTTTTAAGGTCTTGGCCAATTTTCCGAGTCAACTCGAGAGTTGCTGACCAGCAACCAATGCAGGCGTTGGGAAGATTGGCGAAAAATGATGTAACACAAGTACTCGTACCCTTCAAGGACCAAGACTCCACTAACATTGTTATGACGCAGTTGAAAGACCTTAGCATTAAGCTCCAAACCACAATCCAGCCCGTATTTGTCAGTCGGAAAATTGGCCAAGACCTTAAAGAATGTGAGACCAAACCGCAGCTGGTTAATCAACAGTGCGTAGTGTATCAATTTAAATGTAACCTGTGCGATACAGGGAGCTATGTTGGTTACACGCGTGGGCACTTATATGCCTGCGTGGATAGCCATAAGAGCACGTCATCTTCAGTATGCAAGCACTACGACAACGACCACGCAGGTGCTGTCCCTGAGGACCTTCTTAGCTGTTTCAAAGTTCTCAAGAAGTGCATGAACAAATTCGATTGTCTTGTCAACGAGATGCTTTACATCAAACAATTAACACCGAGTTTGAACGTGCAAATGGATTCTATCCGTGCTAAAGTATTTGTGTAGCTACCTCCCCTATGCAAATTAGTTGTAACTCTTGAACCCGCACTTGTTAATTTTATTTTCATTTGTAGCCTTGGTAATGGCGTCATGAAGTCGCCGAAACGTCAGGATATTATATTGCTTGTTTTTACCTGTCTATGTATTACTAAATCTTTGTTAATACGAGTTTTCTCATAAACCCTTTATTAATTTTTTGTTATCTTTTTGTATCCATTGATTGATTTTGACAGCTTAGAGGAAGTCTTTTCTTTCTTTATTCACTTGGTCCATATCTGATTGACAAAGCGTTGACAAGGCTGGAGCTTTGGTTACAAAGCCAAGGAAATTTCCCTTATGGTTAGAAGTTTGTGTCTTTTTATTACCCTGGTTGGGTACTAATTAGTTAATTAACAAAACAATTTTCTTTTTCTAGTAATGGTATTTTTGTTGTAAAAGTTGATGCAAATGCATATTCATTAGAGAAAACTCTGTTGTATGACTAAAATGTTTGATCCTGATTTTATGTTTTGGATATTTGATTCGATTTTCAAACTTGATGACCATTGATGTGGAAAAAGTTTTTGAACTTTAGTTAAAAGAGAGATGCCATTTTTGTATAACATTGTCATAGTCATCACACAAACACAGACACCCATCAAACATAGACAGTTCTATCGTTATTAAAGGAAAATTTCCGTTTGGTTGAAAATGAGATGAAGTTTGCATGGAAACAGTTTTTTTGCAATTCAGAGTGATGTTGAATGGGAACAAGTTAACCATAGTTTCCTCTACTGCAGGACTTCATCCAAGAGGGAGACAAACTTTATCAGCTTTGATTCCCTTTGTGAGAGCTGGAGTGGTTTGTAAGTATTAGCTGCTATTTCTTTTTGTTTGTTTGTTTTAATTTGTTTTGTCAGGACCAAACAAATTTTGGTCTTATTATTCAAAAACAGTTTAGCCGTTGTTTAACGAAACTGCGTCCTAAACAGTCCTCAATTTAGCTGAACCTTTTATCTGAAAATTTGTTTTTATGAACAGTGTTAACTGAGGGCCAAAAGCTAACGTTGAAAGGACATTTATGTAATTAACTGCTTGCGTAAAACCGAGGGTAAGGTTAGAACTCGCGTAAAATAACCGGTCCTTTATATTTACTTGCTGAATCACCAGAGGGCTGTACTTGCGTTAGTCAAATAATTGAGCATTTAATTGATTATGGATTGCAAACTGACTATATATTTGTAAAGCTGGTTTTTAATGGCGACGGAGGCGAAGTCGAAGTCGTAAGAGCGCTCCCGACTTCTTGAAAATCAAAAATCAGAGTTGCAAGCGGAGTCGTAAGCTCAACGGAATTGGTGTCGAAAGAATCAGAACAATTTCATTGTCTTCGGTTTCTGCTTATGAAATCTAGATTGCCGAAGTTGCAAGCAGAATTACTTGCAGTATAACAAACTTATGACATACCGAGCTTTCAGGCCATTCGATGGCTTAGGACTCCGAACGACTTCGATAATCTAGTTTTCACTGGATCGTAGGCGACGGAGTCCTTAGCGGCATTGATGACACTTTATGTTTTTCTTCTGATTCTGTCGATTTGATTTACCCCGCATCGTATCGTTCTGCACTTCTGATCACGACCCCGGCTCCAACTTCCACTCCGTGGTAAGTAAAAGCCAGTCTTTAATGTTCCCTACATACTTTCATATGTGAATATTACAGATGTTCACCGAGCGCACTTGGCGTTGTTTTACTTGAATGGCATCTTTTATCACATTGCGAAGAGGATCACAGGAATTCGATACGTAAGTAATGCGTTTAGAGATAGTGTAGTAATTTTTCAGCATAACATCTGTCATGGTAGGCCGATGATGACAGGCACTGAGATTTTTAATGCAACTTTTCCTTATCCGGTTCGTTCAAAAACAAAAATTGTGGACAGCGAGCTAAACTTTAGATCGGAAAGTTTGGGTTTCGAGCCCTTTTCAAGTTACTTTTGTGTGTGTGTGTGTGTGTGTGTGTGTGTGTGTGTGTGTGTGTGTGCGCGCGTGCGTGCGTGTGTGTGTGTGTGTATGTGTGTGTGCTCTTGCGTAAGACAGTTTACCCCTGGAATGCCTTTGCGTACACCAGGGTATAAATGAAAACCGATTTGCTGTGAGGAAATTTGCTTTAAGGTATACGATTAAAAAAAAACAACAATAACAAGTAAACTATTTAAGCAAAAACTGCCATGGAAAGGTTGAAATTGCGACAACAAGCCAAGAAAGAACATCCACACTGCGCACTGACCGCTGATCGGTGTAATAGTTGAAATAATTCTGACGTCATTTCATTCATTTCCTGCAGCTGCTCGTTCGAAACAGTCTCCGAAATGACGGCTCCAGACCAACTTACCGCTTGCTTGGCTATCTGTCCGTTATACAATTGATTATCACCCTTATTCTGACAACGTACCAGGCAAGATCATGACACAGCTGTGTGTTATTCCACTTACATAATTATGATCCTCTTTCTGGAAAAATAATCCAAATATCGCATAGAAAAAGTTACCTAGAACGAGACAGAAATGGTATAGGCAGTTACTACTGCAATCTTAGCTGAATTGTTTCTCCCCAGGGGGTGCTGGGATGACAACACCTTGAGGATGTGTGTCAGGATATTATTCTCAATGTCAAGCTTTTTCGAGCAATTGGGTGGCAAGAAAGGGAAATAAAAACAAAAGGAGAGCTGTAAGAGGGCAGCATGCCATTCATCACTTTACTGCGAGCACCTTTGGATATTCCTCTTTTGAAGGAGGGGTGGGGGGGGGTGCTATTGCACAGAAGATGTGCTACTGAATAGGGTAAAAACCTCTTGACCGCAATGCCCACATTTGGGTAGCATTTGCACTGAACGAAGTTGCCATTGTTCAAAATGGAGACTGAAAAGCTCCCTCATGAGTATTAGTGCAGTGTATCTGGTTACGTTGGCCCCCTTTACACCCTTACATCAGTTTACATATTCTCCATACTGTTCTCTATACATTTTCTAAGGTGATGGCAAGGAGAATTTGTTTAACAATCAAGGACTTCTTTCGTTAGTGATCGTTTCCTTTATTCTCGTGTCCTTAATGTTTGATTCAGGGGTGATATTGTAAGGAGAAATTAGGTGCTAGTCACTCCAAGTTATCAAAGAGTTAAGCTCATTGGAAGTAGAATTCTTCTGGTCGCATGAAACCCCTATCCTTGGGTGAATTACAGTCTGTCTTTCATTACTTTGTTGATGAGTCACCCGCAGTAAACATTGAATCATCTCTGTCTGAACAGCATCTGAAATCTGGCAAACCATTAGAACGCCTCGTCTCACAGGAAAAGTCAGCGTCCACAAACATCACTTCCGGTAGCAGTATGAAGTGTGCTCTGTGTTTGGAGAGACTCCGAGATAAGACGGTGACTCCATGTGGTCATCTGTTCTGTTGGAATTGCATAACAGAATGGTGTGTTAGCAAGGTTCGTAGCAAGGAGTCGATTACGCTGAGTACCGATACGATCTTAAACCAGCAACAAGACATAATAATATCTTGATAACAAGATATGATTCGTAATGATTTACTGTCAAATCCTTCAGCCCGAATTTATCATATTGTTGGCTATTTTATGTAACCTAGCGAAAAGTTCTGATTTTGCAACTTTTCTATTGAGAGAATTCCGCCGTCTGTTTAGCTAGCGAAGTGGCTCTTGTGTTTTGGTTTCGCCTAACGGCGCAGCCGCGCATGACACCATCGGCAGCCGCTTATGGCAGGGAAATGTAATTGAAACCCTTGAACATACCAAGTAATATGCGGGCTAGAAGTCGACATAAGAAGAAGCAAAGAGAACTGCTCATTGAATTTCTTTCTTTATTTATTCTTTGTTTCTAGCCTGAATGTCCGTTATGCCGTGAATCTGTTCAGTTGTCCAGGCTGGTTTTCCTGCATCACTACGAACCTACGTAAAGGCCCCGATGGTGAAGTATCACGTGATCTTTAGTAAAGTTTACAGACGATTCCGCTCTTAGATGCCGCTGGTTGTTTCAACTGTGTTAAGAACCTCATTTTATGATCCTGGTGACGTTATATTTTAAGATTATACCATCAGTTTATTATTGTCTGAACCAGTTGTGCTAATTACAGGCCATACGGAGAGTACTGCGCTACAGGAAGGGTACATCATGAAGAAGCAAACTTATTGTCAGCTTGTTAGATGCAACATTGTGTGATTGTCACGGAAAGCTTACAGTGCATATCTACCAACGTGTATAAATTTCCTGCATAGTTCAATATCCAGAAGTTTTTTTTTTTTTAGCTGTAATTTTCAGTGAGTATTGGTGATTGTTTACTTATTGGCGTCAGCACTCGTCAATGTCAAACTTGCATTGTACAGTTCTCATATCAATGTGTATATTTATTTTGATGTGCCGTTGACCTGTTGTGTTGAGAAATTTCATTCTTCAAAAACCCAACATAAACACTTCCTCCTGACACACGTCGTGATGCCATGTACAATTTTTTTTTTTTTTAGCTTCGCCAACCGGCAGGGACACCGCAACAGCTTGCGCCAATTACTGCGGTCCCAATAAACCCACCATTTTTTACTGCATTACCGCAGTAATGTAGGACTAGAACGGAACATATACGATCCATGCGAGTAGTCCACCCGTTAAATCCCACCTATCCCACCCCAGGGGAGGACATCCATCACACAGTAATCTCGTGTGTGGGAAATTAACGTCTCCTACCCCAACCCTGCAGGAGACAGGACCTCCATTTATTCCTCCCTATCCGAGAAGAATAGAATATTTGACCATTTCTTGATGTTATAGAAAGGTAGCATAATTATTCTTCTCAATTATTTTAAGACCTTGAGTGTTGGTCCGGCTGGGGCTCAAACCCTCGACCTCCTGCACAACAGTCCAGCGCTCTATCCATTGATTGACTCATAATTAACGATTGCATCAAACTTACTATTAATGCCCTTCATTTTTTTTCACATCTTGTTTTTTTTCAAACATAACTCTGCTCATTTACTTGCCACAGTACCCCATGTTAGTACAATCAAGTATATCTCACCTAAACCACTGGATTTTTGTATGAGGCATTGAATCAAGAATGTAGTCCCAACGGGATGCCCATTTGTGATTGGGATCTGTCTCTTGCTGCAAAAAAAAAAGAAATTAAAGGTAAAATTCAGTATGAAAATGTAGTAATGTAGATCTACATGTATGCTTGGGTACAGAGGTAGGTTTGCATTGAGTTATCTGTATTAAAACTGGAATGCTTGATTTCATGAGGTAAAATGCAATGTAAAACTGTTACAAGAAGAACAATAAGGAGCTTGGGAAGGGGAGAGCTGAGAGGGGCGTTTCCATATTACAGTGGAACCTTGATTTAACAAAGTGCCAAGGGACTGGGGGAATTGGTTCGTTATAATTATTGAGAGTTCATTATAACAAGGATCTGTGGCA